CACTGTGAATACCACATTTTCTTTATTCATTCATTCTGAGGAACACCTAGGCTGAATCCATAACTTGGCTGTTGTCAACAGTGCCACAATAAATTTGGATATGTAGTTATATCTTTCATTTGCTGGCTTTCCTTCCTCCAGATAGTCAATTAATTGTATGAGAGCTCTATTGAGTTTCTGAGGAATCTCCATATTGATTTCCTTAGTGGCTGTACTAATTTATATTCTGATTGTGAGGGGTCCTTTTTTCCCTACATCTTCACCAACATTTGTTATTTCTTTTGCTGATAATTGCCAGTCTGACTCATGTAACATGGCACCTCAATGAGATTTTGATTTGTATTTCTCTAGTATATAAAGATGTTGAGCATTTTGTCACATATTTATTGACCATCTATTCTTCTCACAAGTTCCTGTTCATATCATTTGCCCATTTACTGATTGGACTACTTGTTCTTTTGGATGTTACATTTTTTGAGCTCTATATATTCTAAATACACACTATCTCTCTCTCAGATGAACTACAGGCAAAGATTTTCTTCCATTCTCTTAGTTATATTTTCACTCTGTTCATTGTTTCCTTTGCTGTGTAGAAATTGTTAAATTTGATGTAGTTCCATTTGTCAAGTCTTGCTTTCATTTTCTGAGTTATTGGGACCCTGGGCAGGAGATGTTGCCTGTGCCAACATTTTGAAGTGTTTCTCCTACACTGGTTTGGTTTGGTTTGGTTTGGTTTCCAAAAGTGGGGTCTCAAAGTTTCAGTTCTTACATTAATTAAGGTCTTTGACTTCTTTTAAATTGATTTTTGTAGCAGATGAGACACGTGAATCTAGTTTTAATCTTCTGCACATGGATATCCAGTTTTCCCAACATCATTTGTTGAAGATGCTGTTTTTTCTCCAATGTACATTTTTGGGTCATTTGTGGAACTCCAAAAGTAATATCTGTATGGGCTTATTTCTGTAATTCTATTCTATTAATCTATGTGTCCATTTCTACAGCAATACCATGTTTTCATTACTTTGAATCTGTAGTATAACTTGAATTAAAGCATAATGGTAACTCCTATGTTGCTCTTTTTTACTCAGGATTGCATTGGCTATTGGAGGACTTTGGTGCTTTCACAATACTTTATAGTTTTTTTTCTTCTAACTGTGAAGAATAGCATGAGTATTTTGCTGGTGATTGCACTGAAACTGTAGATTGCTTTTCATAGTATAGCTATTTTAGCAATATTAATTCTTTTTTTTTTTTTTGTCTTTTTCCTTTTTATTGGTACCAGGGATCGAACTCACGACTGCCTGCTTTCAAGGCAGGAGCTTATACCGCTGAGCTAAATCCCCAGCCCCAGCAATATTAATTCTGCTTATCTATGGACATAAGAGGTCTTTTCAATCCCATATCTTTTTGCAAATTATTTCTTCAGTACTTTGCAATTTTCACTATGTTGGGATACCTCTCTGGCTAGATTTATTCCCAATTATTTTGTTTTTTAGGGCATTGTGAATGGGATTGCCTTCTTGATTTCTCTCTCAGCAAGTTCATTTTTAGTATATGGAAAAGCAACTACTTTTTATATGTTTATTTTGTATCCTGCTACTTTGCAGAATTTTATAAATCCATTCTAAGAGCCTTCTGTTGGAGTCTTTAGTTTTATAAGAATAGAATCATATCATTAGCAAATGGAGATAAATCTACTTCCTGCTTTCTTATCTATATCCCTTTTCTTTTTTTATCTTGCCTGATTGATTTGGCTAAACTTTCAAATTCTGTTCTGTTAAAATTTCTATTTCGTACTGAACAGAAGTGATGAAAATAGACTCCTGGATTTGTCATTGATTTTAGAGGAGATACTTTCAGTTTTTCCCCACTCAGTAAAATGTAGGCTATCGATTTGTCATAGGTAGCCTTGGTTATGTTGAAATAAGATCCTGTATAAATAGTTTGCTTAGGGTTTTTATCATAAATGGATATTGATTTTTATCAAAGGCTTTTTCTGCTTCCATTGAAATGATTATGTGATTTTCAAGTGATTGTTTTACTGTACTGTATTATGCTTATTGATTTGTGTATGTTGAACTATTTCTGCATCCTTATAATGAAACCAACTTGCTGAGGGCATATGAGCTTTCTTGATGCTGTTTGATCTGATTTATTAATATTTTATTGAGGGTTTTTATATTATGTTCATCAAAGGTATTGGCCTATAGCTTTTTTTCTTTTTCTTCTTTTTTTTGACAGGGTCTCTCTTTGCAGTTTAGGCTGGCCTTGAACTCTCTTATGTACCTCAGATCAGGCCTCAAACTCACAATGATTCTCCTGCTTCAGCTCCTGAGTGCTGGTATTGCAGGCATGCACTACCACATGTGGTTCAGTTTTCTTTTTTTTTTTGTCACGTTTTTGTCAGGTTTTGGGGTAATACTGGCTTCTTAGAATGAGTTTAAAAACATTCCTCCCATTTCTATTTTATGAAAAATTCTCTTTAAAAGTTTAATTGTAAGCTGAGCATGGTGATACAAACCTATAATCCTGGTACTTGGGACGCTAAAACAGAAGGTTTGCTGCAAATTTGAGGCCATCCTGGGTTACATGGTGAGTCAAAAGTCAGCCTGAAGCTCTCTCATAGAGAGAACTTGTCTCAAAAAAATCATGATTATAATAAATAAAAAATTTTAAATTAAATAATAAAGTTTGATAAAATACAACAGTGAATCTGTCTGGTCCTTGGCTTCTCCTTGTTTGGCATCTTTTTTACTTCTTCAATTTCATGCTTTTTATTGATCTATTTAGGTATATATCATCTTATATAAAAGACAAGAAAGTTATCAATTTTGGTAAATTGTTTGTGGCCCAAAATTTGTCCATTGCTTCTACATTTTCCAATTTATTAACATACAGTTTTTCAAAATATTCCCTAGTAAACATATGGATTTCAGTAGTATGTTATAATATTCCCTTTTATAAGATCTCTAATTCTTTCTCCATCTTTTAGGATAATGGAAAGACCTCTAATTTTATTTATTTGGATTCTCTCTCTCTCTCTTTGTTAGTATAATTAAGAGTTTATCAGTTTTGTTTATCTTTACAGAAAATCAATTCTTGCTTTATTAGTCCTTTATACCGCTCTTTTAGCTTCTTTCCATTTGTGCTCTGATCTTTTTATTTCTTTCCTCGCACTAATTTTGGGTTTAGTCTATTCTTATTTTCTAAGACTTAGAGATGCATTACTAGGTTATTTGAGATTCTTTTTTCAATGTAAGTACTCACAACTACAAATTTCCCATTCAGTCCTGCTTTTCCTTACATTCAATATACATATGTTTGTATAGTTCTGTGCTTTATCTCACTGTTATATTCTGTTTTAGTTAATAAGGTACATAAAAATGTTTTAATTTGCTTCTATTTGTTGAAACTTGCTTTATGACCTAATATGTCATCTGTTTGAAAAAAAATTCCAAATGCTGATGAAAAGAATGTCTATTTTGTAGTCCAATGGGATATTCCATAGATGCTTATTAAACCTATTTGTTCTATAGTCTAATTAGCTTTGATGTTTCTTTGTTGATTTTTTTTTTTTTGTCTTGATGATGCATCTGTTGTTGAGAGGACATTGAAGTCAGTGACTATTATCATATTGGAACCTATATCACCCTTCATGTCCTGTAGTTTGTTTTATAAAATTTGGGTGCTCAAAAATAAGTGGATATATGCTACCAAAGTGATATCTTTTTTGATGGATTGTTTCCTTTATCAATATGTAATGACTATCTCTTTTGGACAATTTTGGCTCAAAGTCTAAAAAAAAAAACAAAATTAATCTTCATTAATAGCTAAACAATATTGTTTATTAACAAAGTACTTAAGTTTTTTAATATATAGAGGCTCTTAATAAACAATTGCCATGACCGGAAATTTCAGCTGTGACGATTTAACTGTTGATATTCTTTCATAGCAGGCATGGTGGTGCACATCTGCAATTCCAGCACTCAGGAGGCTGAGGCAGGAAGATCACTGTGAGTTTGAGGCCAGCCTAGGTTAGAACCACACAATGAGACCCTGCTTTAAATAAATAAATAAATGGAATGAGATATTCTTTCAAATGTACAAAGATATATTTATAAAACTGTACATTGCAGTGGTATATGTAATATAGTAAACTAAAAATATAATTGCTCACTATTCTGATAGATTTAATGGAAAACCATGTAGCTAGTTTTTAAAATGGTCTACTAATCTAGCAAGATAGCCTAGAAATGTCTCTCAGTAAAAACAAAAAGAAGTTTATATTAAACCATCATTATGGAAAGTTGACACATGTGTGTGTGCATAGAAATTTTGAAAAAATATTTTAAACTCTTTTCCATATCTGGAAGTCTGGAGTACTATTTGATGGGATTTTTGTTTATTTTTCCTTTGTATTTTGTTTGTATTCTTTTTGTTTTGTTTGAAGTCATGCAAATTAAATCTAGGAACTTTGCACTGAGCTATATTCCTAGGCTGTTTTTATTTTTTATTTTGGGACAGGATCTCTCTGTTGCCCAAGCAGGACTTCAATTCACCATCCTTTTGCCTCAACCTCCCAAAGTGCTGGGATGATAGGCATGCATCATTACAATGCTGGAATTACAGTCATATCCACTTTATTTGTGCTTTTTAATGGGCATATAATATATATTGCAATTCATTTTTTAAAATTATGTAAAAAATAAATGAGTAATTATCAAATCCATGAAAGGAAAAGATTCTCAGAGTAAAGGTACAAAACAATCAAGAAAAAAAATATTGATCAATTCAACAACATAATATTAAAACAACTATAGGGCCAGACACGGTGGCTCATGTGTGTAATGCCAGCTCTCTTCAAGTTCCTGTGAGACCTTGTCTCAAGAAAACAAACCACGGAGAACTAGAGGCCAGCCCTTTCCTGTGAGTCAGCACCATTTGTGGACTGTGGGGGCAGGAGAACAGGAAGCCAACAAGAAACCAAGCCTTCCTGTGAGTTAGCACTACGTGTGGCCCACTGCAGGGGAGAGCTAGAGGCCAGATCTTTCCTGTGAGTCAGTACCAGCTGTGGACTGTGAGGGAGGAGAATAAGAAGCCAACAAGAAGTCAAGCCCTCCCTGTGAGTCAGCACCATGCACAAGCTGCTGGAGAGAGACCCAGATGCCATCCCGGAACAGGGCACAGGCTGGCAGACAAGAAGAGCCAAGATGTGACCCTCACTCCCTGTAAGTGACTGGCCGATCTGGAAAAACACAGGGTGTGATGATAGCTATACTGAAGTAAAATACAACTGAATGCTTATAGTGTATAGTGTTTCACTGACTTTGTTTAGAAAATAACAATATGCAATGTAGCATCTATAAGGGGTCTCCTAAAGGTGGTAGCCATTGTTAATTACCTATTATCTTATTTTGAAGTTCTGTATCATTTTCATTGTTTGGTTTGGTTTGGTTTTATTCTGTTTTGTCTTGTTTGATTTTATTATGTCTAATGACATGGGCACTATTTAAAAGATAAGATATATTGCAGTAGTCACTTTGAATTTACTATTATCTTGTTTTGAAGTCCTTTATTGCATTCATTGTTTTGCTGCTATTGGTTCTATTCTGTTCTTTTTGTTTGATTTTACTATGTCTGAAGCCATGGGCTGCTATTTTGAAGACAACAAGAGGCATTATGGTAACTGCTATTGATTTCTTATTATCTTGTTTCAATATCTTGTGTTACTTACACTGTTTTGTTTTGATTGGTTTCATTGTTTTATTTTGCTTGATTTTATTCTCTTTAATAGAAAAACTACACACAAAAAAACCCCAAAATCTACATGCTAAAATACAAAAATGAACTGCACACAGGAAAACCATATAAAAGAAACTGGACAAAAATGGGATGTCATTGTAGTTAGTTCAGTGGTAGAGCACTTGCTTAGTATGTAGGTGCAAGGCCCTGGATTCCATCTTTAGCAATAAACAAAAAGCAAAGAAACACAAAAGAGCCCTTTGCATCTTAGCTGTATCATTAACTAAAGTAAATCAATATGACCTTGCAAAGTAAGAACTTGATAGAAAAATGTTCAAAAGACATAAACAGCTCATCAAAGCACCCTGACATTTTCACTGGGAACATGAAGTACAATTTAATGACACCATGATGAGGCCATTTGTTTCCTGTTTGTCTTTCTCAGAATCCAGCAGCTCAGCCAGGATACGAAACACAGGTGTTTTGTTCACCGCAGTGCCCTGCTTCAGCCCTCCTGGAACACTGAACCCCTTTTTATTTAATCGGGAATTAAACTCAGAACCTTACACATGCACTGCACCATGGAACTAAAATTCCTGGTCCCAGAACTTGAATTGGTTCATAAGATATTTCCTGGAGCAAGCGGCTGAAATATTTTTAACTTGTCTTGGCATTATTTAGCATAGAGATAATTATATGCTTCATCTTTGAATTGTTTAGCTCTGAAGTGGGAAGCATACTTGGTCCCAAAAGTTAAAAGGAAAGTATGCCTGTACTCAGGACTGTTTAACAAGGGAGGAAGGAATTGCTTGGATCTTTTTAAATTTAAAAAAAATAATAATAAAAATGATGATACAGAATTTCAAAACAAAATAATAGGAGTTTAACAGCAGTTAATATATTATGTATTGCTATCGTCAAAGTATTGTTAAGATTACAAGATACAGGCATGAAAAAATGATCAAACAATGAAGGTACAAACTGTTCTTTTTGATGAACTAACAGAGATTAGTAATAGTTATACATAATTAGTAATATATAACTATATATAACAGAATGTTCTCCTTTATAGTTATATGTATTATATGTATATGTAACTATAAATGAGAAAAGAAGGGAAAAGATATCATCTTTTCTCTACTTTAGCCTATCCCAGTTGTTCTTTCCTTTTGAGCAGTTTCTTTACCCTTTCACTTTCACAATATCTGTTGAACATTTTAGATTTTACTCTTTCAGTTTCATTTGGATTTTAATTCTTTCATGAAGCCTCAAATATTCAACATATTATAGAATCCTATGAAAGGGTTTATACTCTCCAGTCCAGACTGTATCTGTACTACTCAGCACAATGCTTTGGTGATATAATGTACTCAGGATTCCATAGCAGTGATATAATCTAGGTTGATAGACTAGCCATAACCCAAATTAATACCAACCAGTATGCAAAAACTGAGAAGAAAACTCTTGAGTTTCTCACATTAGCAATAATGTGTTACTTCTTCTCACAAATCATCTGCCAGAGCAAGTAACTTGAGCCCACACAGTCACAAGAGACCAGCAAGTACAATTCCACTGTGTGACTGGAAGTAGAGAAACAGCATATACAGTCAGCAGCATTAGTGACTGTCAGGATAGTCCACAGGACCACAGGATACCTATGGTCAGCAAAGAGCTCATTCACTCTTCTTCCTGTACCCAAGACACATTTATCATCTGCCCAAAGAGATGACCCAAAAGTCTCATCTAATTGTAATATTGAACTCAAAACTCCAAGATCTCATGAGAATCTACAATAGGGAATGGTAATGTGGATTCTATATACCATATCAAGACAGAAGCTTTCTTTATCCCAATGGTGAATGTATTTCTCAGGAACTGAGGCAACAATGCTGTGTAATAAGACATTCCAAAATTTAGTAGCCTAACATAATAAATATTTCTATTTTCATCTGAGTCTGATTCCATTCTACTTCAAGTATCTCCACATTTTCTCAGTCCAAGTGCTCATTCCATGACAGTTTTCAGGAACAGAAGAGCATATGCCAAGTGCATAATGCTCAAAGACTTTGCATTTGTTACATGCACTCGTATTTCACAGGTCAAAGCAAGTCCCATGTTCACAAGTCACAAAGCAAGACCAGATTAAAGTTCGCTGAGAGAGAGAAATATACTCTACTACAAAGAAGAAGAGAAAGTGAAAATTTGATGAACAGTATGATTGATAGTAACTATGAGTGTAAAATGTGAACTCCCAGTCTTTTATGCACTTGATGTGTGATGGTGGTGCAGGTATAAGAGAAACACATAAAACCTCCCCTGTGAAAAGAGAATGAGTGTGAAAGTCAATTCCCTACACACTGGTCACTATTAGGCTCTTAGGGGCTCCTAAAGGGAGTTCCACTGTCCATGATTTTCTGTGGCCCACTGGAATTCCTTTTTTTGTTTGTTTGTTTATTTGGTTTTCTTTCTTTCTTTCTTTCTTTCTTTCTTTCTTTCTTTCTTTCTTTCGAGACAGAGTCTTTTTCTACAGTACAGGCTGTCCTTAAACTTATGATCCTCCTGCCTCACCCTCAGTGTGCATCCCCCTGCTAAGCTCCTTTTCTTTTCTATTTATCTTCTCAGTTATGTTTGAAGAGACACTAGAAAATATGCCCTCCTAAGGGGCTGGTAGCTTTCTTCACCTGTTTCCTGGTGACAGAAGTTTGGAGACTAAAAAGTCAGGACCTATTTCAGTCCCAGATCACGGTTCTTTAGGCACCTGACCTTTACTGCATCTTAGTCATTTGATTCTTGATAACTGTGTTAAAGACAAAATCATAATTTAGTTTAAATATCAAAATTGGCTTCAGTGTTATTTTTTCTTTTCTTTTTGTTCTGGGAATTGAACTCGGGACCTCATGCTTGCTAGGTAGACACTGTGCTGCTGAGCTATATCCCCAGCAGTGTTATTCTTAAATAGGAAAACACTTCCTTTCATAAAGTAAAATGAGTTGTCACAAGAAGGGGACAAAGAGATGGAAGGAGAAGTGGGGAGGATACATTTTTAAGAGTTAAGATGTGTCATGTACATGCACAAACTCCTCACAATGAATGTAACCATTATGTATTGCAAACATGTATTAATAAAAAATAAAATTAAAAGAAAAAAGGTTTCTAAAGGACAAAGTCTGGGCTTTGTGGCACACAACCGTAATCTCAACACTTTGGGAGGCTGAAACAAGATCACAAGTTCAAGCCCAAACTAGGCAATTTAGGAATATTCTCAACATAGAAAATAAAGAGGCAGACAATGGGCATGTAGCTCAGCATAAAGAAGGCACTGGGGTCAATTCCTTGGTACCACAAAAAGAAGGAAGGAAGGAAGGAAGGAAGGAAGGAAGGAAGGAAGGAAGGAAGGAAGGAAGGAATTTATTTTCCTTTCCTGGTAAGGCAGCAACAGGGAGACAAAAAACAGGAAACTAATTAGTTAGTTAACAACAGTTTACTTTAGGTTGCTTTGTGTAAGGACAAGACCTCATTGTCAGCCAAATGAAGCTGGCCTGTTTGGGAAGTTTGCTGCTATCCCTCTCATCCTGATTTCTGAAAAAACTAGATCAACAGCTTAGTTTCACTTTCATGACATGGAAGTTCAGTACATATGGCTCCGTTTTCATTTTCAGTCCCCTCTGTTGGGCACTAGAGCAGGAGACTGGGCCAAAGCAATGACCTCCTTTAGTTTTTTTTACCTCCTGTAACTTTTTGACCTCCTTTAATATTTTTAATAGTTGCAAGTGCCAGTAATTCCACCCACAACTGACTTTTAGCTACACTTGTTTATTTTATTTATTCTTTTTCCCCCACGATTCTGCCAAGTATAACAGGGAGATCCTATGTTTCCCAAGCTCCAGTGGAAGAGCCCAGGTTAATAGCCTTATCCTCATATGTGCTACCACCACTCAGGGCCAGTTGATTTAACTAAAAGGATTTACCTGATACCAGAGTAATCCATTAAAAGATTTTAATAATGGGAGCCATAGTTAAGGCTTTGATTCAATGATCAATAAGGAGATGAGTTAGTTTTCTGTTTTCTTGGTACTAAGAATTGAACGCAAAACCTTTTCCTTTCCTCATTTTTTTGTTTCAAATTGAATGTCCCTAAGTATAAACTACCCATGCTGAGAGTAAACTTGTGATCCTCCTGTCTCAGCCTCTCAGCATGGTGGTATTCCAGGCATTGTATCACCACAGCTGACAAGAGAATAAATTCTTACCAATCTTTTTTATACAAAGGATCTCTGATTTTTAATTAATGGGTTGGGCAAGACAAACAATACTTCTTGGAGCCCTGCAAATTCTCAAGTTTTTGGAATTTCTATTCCATTTTATTTGGGCAGAAACCTTTAAATATTACAAATGGCATCACTGCCAATTTAAGTTGGGAAAAAAAGTTTGAAGATTAGTTGTGTCTTAGGTAGCTTTACTGATCTGCCCATCCTTAAATGGGAAT